TACGTTATTTTTTTTCACCAGTTAATAATATCGACCTCTGTTGGCGGACCAAATAAAACCAAAACATAATTCCGATCCAAATCGAAAAAACGACAAGCGGGAGCTTGGGGATTATAACTGCACATACATTATGCAAGCAGACGAATGAAATCGATTATACAAACATTACGGAACAATATATTACAAATGCGTTCCTTGCTACTATTATTATCCCGGATAGGTAGTATAGGTACTACCTGCCTATGCAAGCACACTAATGCCGAGCTGATTCCCAAAGGGCTACTGCAGCATGTCCACATAACGAAATTGTCGAGATTTTCGCAATTTGTGAAATATATATGTGTTCGTGTAATGGTACATATATGCATCTGCAGTGCAGAGTACTTAATATACGATACGATGACGATTCGTTTGGATAGGTGACACAGATGACAGTGAATAGGAAAATAAATAAATTATCGAGTCTAAAAGAAAAAGAAATATCAACATATTGTATAGTATATTATACTCATATAATTAATTAGTAAATAATACTTAGCAGTCAGTGCAATAAAGTTAATAATAATACATTTATTAATTTTAGTAATAACCAACCAGCAGTTATCTCGTGACCCATTTTGTGACTATAATTTATTTTGCTACCAAATTACGAGATCATCATTATATAATTTTTAATCTCATCAAGTTCACATAAATTATCCGAAGAGATATCCACTGCTGGTTAAACATACTATTATATAATTGATAAACGTTAAAACAAATTTTTGGCTGATTTATTACAGCGCAAAATTATATTTAAATTTCATGATATAATAGTATAGGTACATTTTTAATCATCGACAAAATATTGGAACCCAATTCYWAAGAAGAAATGAGTTATTTCATATAACTCAACATTGAACGCAGTCCATATTTTAAATGCCACTAAATGTTGGCCAATACGTAGGACAGAGCTAAGTCAAATATTGTTGACTAAGACTTTAAGAGCCGAAAATGAAGTATTGTACACACACACATAATCGGCGATATATCTTATAATACATCAAATATGGATCCGAACAAAGCGGGCGACGGTGAAAAACTATGGATCCTGCCAAGCGTCTATACACTGTGTCGATGTTTTCACTTTGAACTTTAAAGTTTTTTTCAAAAACAGTAACTGAAGATGCTATTATTTTGAGGATTGTCATTATATAATCATAGATAGACGAAGGATGTKAAGTCGTACGGGGTGAAAAGTGTAACGAGCTACCGAACTGACCGCGGCGGAAACTGATTCAGGGACGAACGGACGGACGTCGACGACGACGTTGAATTACAACGCCGAATTATCTTGGAAAAGTGACCCCGAAAGTTATCTTCCGAGCGGAGGCGGTCAACCGCTTGTATAAACGGTAGGTTAAGTTAGAGCAAGCAATAAAGCTCAAAGTTAGGTGGACGAACTTTAACTGGCCCCCCTCCAGATAAAGGCTATTATGTTGTGTGTAGGTATGTAATACCGACACCGTAACACGATGGTTGAATCAGTATATACAACGACAGAGACCACGATGAAAGTCCAAAACATCAATAATGAGCAGGACTCGTGTCTTAACAGTTAACGGCAGCGGCAACAAATTTCTGGACGGAGATAGTTAATGTAATATTTCACAAAAAATGTTGTTCATAATATTATTCATATACAAACCATTAGAAATGTAAAAWTTTACGGTAATATTGTTTTAAAAATGGCGAAATGTACTATAAATGACAAACAGACAACACTAGCTATGTACCCAACTACTGTAGTCTGTAATATTATAAATACATGTTATAACTGTTGTAACATTCGTTACACCTTATATATATATTATACACACACTTAACATCACACACTATATGATTGACCAATACATAATATACACACTCAACACTTTCTACCCATGCACATTATTACTTAATATTAAAATGACACACAGCATTTAGTTCGAAAGTCACCATCAACAGGAGCGAACTCACCAAATACACTTATTAACAGCCATCTACATTAGTAAGGTATTATTTTTAATATAATAATATTAATATGGATCTATAAACCAAACATGTCTTATTATTGATAAAATACCTCATACACAGTTCTCTAACCCCCAGCTACGGAAAACTTATMCATAAGGAATAAAAAACCTTCCCTGGATAACTAATATCGTAACAAGGTCCCCCGACCACGTTGCACTGTGTTAGTAAAACAGTATTAATGAAACTATGGTGAGTCTAATAATAGAATTATAATTTAGCACCTGGTAGTCTGTAAAAATGTTTAATACCAAAGCAGCCCAAGAATTATGTAACATTAAAACTGTATGGAAAGGTAAAAGGCCCACAATTTGAGGTAAAATTAGAAAGATATGGTTTGATGTTTCATGACGGTATGGATATTCTTTTAAATTTAAAACTGGGGATTTTGAAAGATTTAATTTAAATATGTATTTTTTTAACGTATTAACGTACGTATCTATACTCTACTCTAATTATTGCAATACACATAATATTATTACACAACAATTTGAGGAAATCATCGAAACTAGATCTAATCTACAGATAATGATGTCCAATGAMGTTATGATAAACACTCATTTTGTAAGTGCACTTATTTATTCAAGATTTTTTTTGCGATCAAAAAAATATTGGAACGACTGAATATAACATAATAAAATCAAAACATTCTCAATGGGGAAGTCAACTATTTTATACGTAAAAACGTATTTTACCCGTAAACGTGTACGCTGGTGGACTGAATGATAACTTTTTGACTTTTTAGCCTTCCAGGACTCGCTTACTATAATATATTAAATTACTTTTTCAGTGAGTGAAAAAAATATTTAAAAAATCGTGAAGTGTAGCTACCAATATTATTATTTATTAGAATAATTTTTTTCTATTATAAACTTGGTTAATTCATTACATTCTAACTGCAAGACAAAAACATAGAAAGCTGTTGTCTTTTTTCCTCTAGACTTTATTTGTTGCAAAAATTTGTGTTTTGAGTACTCTGTATATTATTCTAGAATAGGACAATTTGGAGCCAAGCCAAATGTACTGTGAAATAATTTATGAGGAATCCATGAGTATGAATAAAATAATAAATAATATAGTATAAGGTTTAAAACTTAAATTATACTGATCTGAAATGAAATAACAATAGATATTATGTCAATTGAATATAATATTTTATTCTTTGATTTATAGTTTATAAGCTTGATTGTTTGCATGGTTATTTTAAATATAAAATTATATAAATTATTAAGAAAAATTCTGATCTGGTTTGGTTTTAAGTGACAAAGACTTAAAACTTTGCAATAATGGTAAAAATCAGAGAAGAGGTTTCAATTAAGTATTTCTTTAGATTTTGATAAAACTATAAAAAAAATATATAACAAAAAAAGAAGTTTGATTTTTTAGGCTTTTGTTATATAAGTAATACAATGAAAGATATGAATTTTTTAAATAAATTATTATTAACAGCCATTCATCCCCCTCCAAGAAGTTACTAGGAATTCTTCCACTGGAATACATTGCAGTATTTTTATAAAAACAGACTAAAATATATTAAAGTACATAAATATATAATATTATGTTTTTGTTTGATTAATATCTATTATAATTTATGTTCACTATAGTGTATAATATGATTAATATGCTATAATTATCTTCAGTTTCCAAATTAAGGACATTTAATTAATTAAATCATTATAATGACTTTTACTTTTTAGAAAATACTTAATGTATCATTTTTGTACCTACATGAACATTATAATATACCATTTATAATATTTGTTTCTCTTTAGTTTTTCAGTGCCAAGTGGTACATAACAATTAACAATTACTTAATTTCATGAATTAAGTAAAAATGTTGTAGAATATTTTTTAATCTTGTAATTAAAATGTATTTTATTGTTTGTGCTTATACAAATAATTATAAAAAATATTTTAATTTAAGCACCTAAGTATTTTTTAACATCAGCATTTTCAAAACTATACAATTTAATCAAATATTTTACAAAATAATTTTTTAATCTAACACCCTTTAATATTTAATAGATGCTGAAACTAAAATTCTAAACATTTATCAATTGTTTGACTAAAAAATTAAAAAATTATTTATAACCTAATTCATTTACTATAATTTTAAACTTATTTAATAATTTACACATATTTTTGTATCCAGACAAAATCAAAATCTTTACGATTACCTATTATTTTTATTTTCATATAAATAATACATCCTGGTGAATGTGCAATTTGTGCTGCCCTCTGTTGGTTTGTTTTTGAGGCATACACAAAAAAGCAGTTTTAGATAATAATATCCAGCACTCATAAACAAAATATAAAAAATATATATTATAGGTACTACCTACACAGCATGTGGCTAAACTCTGAATTCTAAAGCCTAATGTTATAAATATGTTTTCCTTATAAATAATGTAAATACCTAACATGTGAATGATTGTATTATTATTTATTTTAGTGTGAACCCAACAGATGTAATCAATTTATTAACTAACTTGACAATATTATTGTTTCAGATATAAAATAATGAAGACCAACAATGGAACTATAATGTGGGAACTAATTTTACCAACATCAGTGGCATATAAATCTTGGGAAACTCTTTAATATTACTTAACTTACAAGATACATTAAAAACTTAATTACTAATAATTTTTAGTACAATTATAAGTATATAGGTACTAAAAATAACTAAAACTATTAGAAATTCATCATGTATTTAAGTATAATATGTTTACATTAGATTATTAAATGGCATAAAATTAAAAACTCTTAATTTGCATTAATTTAAATATGCAAGTGATATAGGTACCAAGTTTTTATCTCATTCATTATCATAAAACTACATGTAATTTGTATGGTTTGCTATCGTGATATTGTGGGTCTTTCATTCAATTAAATAATTCATGTTATTATGTTTAATGTTTATAATAAAAACCACAACTCATGCTTACCAAATGAAGAATTGCTTTGTAAATAAGTGTACCACACTGAAACAGTGTCAACGTAAATTAAGACATCTGAAAAAAATAATACACATTTAATATTAGAAGAAATTATATACCAATTTATACTATTTAGGTTACAGCTTAACAATAGTGGATCCAGAATTTTGATTTTTTGAGGCCAAACATTTTTCAAAACAATATTATATATATACGGGAGCAATTGCGTTGGTGAACACCTTGGTGGTAGACTAAAATGATCCACTTTACTCAACTAAACTTTTAAGTTTAAATAATCATAACTATAGTATTTTAATGCAAAATGCACTATTTTTTGAGAAGTCCCTGACAATGCTCTCTTAAGTATGAAGTGTGTTTCTACATCAAAGAATAGAACTTTTATTTTCTATGTTTTCAGTTTTAGCATTTTTTTAGCAATAATTATCTATAATAATGTTGTTAATTTTATACATGATATGCATTTTAAGATTAAAATTTTTCCGACCATTCATCATTTGTCGATACTATTGATGATTTTGAATATTTTGATGCGTACATAATGTCTTTTTCTAAAGAAATAGTAATAGCCTAGTAGGTCGTATCATGTAAATCCAAATAAATAGTTGTAAATAAGACATAAATCTACTATGAACCTACTTAAACAATTAATTATACCTTACATTATAAGGTACCTGCCTAAGTTAAAATAATTCATCTATCACATTTATACTCTAAATTTAATCTATGATTTATGATTTAAAGTACAATATAAGTAAACAGTTAACAAAAAAAATTTAATATGGTACACTGGTTTATTATGGCGATAAGTGAGTAACCAAAAGTAAATAAATTAAGGTTATAATAGTATGTGGCTGATTTTTTTTTCATTTTTAGTGAGTCAAAATGGGTCCCAGTTCACTTATGAATATAAATTTATTAAAAACTTAAATTATTTATATACATGTTTACCAGTGATGTCATCACATCAGTTTAATTGGTGATAAGATAAGATGACATTACACACTCTCTGTCGACTTATAAACATAAAAATTAAAGTAGTTATTTATTAAGAATTTTAATTGACAAGTATGTATCCATGAGAAAGTTTTGCTAGGCTTATTTGACTCCTCTCCACCCATAAATTTACTACTGCGTCTTAAACCATTAGATTAAATTTAATCGCCATACCTAATACTTAATACCTATTTTATAAAATGCTTAAAATAGCATGCCTAACACATATTAGGCTGTTAAGAAATACTATCAAAACTATTTCAATAACAAAAAGGTTGTAGTTATTGGTGATTATCTACCTACCTAGGTAAATGAATGATTATATTATTATTATGAATAATTTATATTATATTGACTGATGTTATAGTTACCCCACAAAACATTTAAATGAATTGTAAAATATTGATTAGTGATGGGCAATGGCTATCCACTAATATCAATTGTTAAATATGCCTTCTGCTCTTCAGTTTTGTGAAAAAAATTAAGTGAACACAAGAAGCAATACATACAATTTGAAATATCATCATAATTTTTATTTGAAACATACATCATATTTCTATACTCTATAGCAGATTTTAATTATTAGTTTTCCACTTACTTTGTTATTGTACTTATCTTATAATAATATAGCCTTTATAAAAAACAATTTATTTTAATCTGGCTATACAGAATAAATAAAGACCTAAATACCAAGCAACTTCCACCATTAAAAATATTAAGGATAAGAAATGTATACACTTATAAGGACATTGCCACCACATGTGTTGTCAACGTTTTATACGCGTACAAAATTCCAAATTAATGTTCATCAATTTCAATATTGAACTGTTAGTTTTGATATTAAAATAAAAAGTTTCAAAAAGGTCATAACTGACTTAAAAATAATAATACCAAAATAGCCTAAGTAGGGTCCTGTACAACAATCTTACCTTTAAATTTTATAATAAGCCAATAGACTATAACAATGGTTGGCAACTAGCGGACCACAATCCAAATCTGGACTGTCAACATGTCTCAATTTTTTTTTTGTATTCATAGAACTATTATAAAAATATAAAGATTTGACAACAATTGTTTAAGTTGGACTTCATTTATTTAATATTTTAATCATCCGGACTCCATTTGAAATTAATTGCCAACCCCTGCACTATTATATTCAAACTAACAGCATACTATAGAAACTGGTAAACATAAATTTGGTATGTCAATGTGTGTAATATGGAGACAACACATATGGACAACATCCACTTAAAATGTTGACTATTGAACTCAAGATTGTTGTATGACTTTTAATAAATATTAACCTACTACCTATTTATTGTACCTATCACATATTTACTAAATCAACAACTTAAGATATGATTGAATACATGATACAATATAATACTTAAAAATGTAGAAACAGCCTATAAGAGTTCAAATTAAATAAAATTAACAAATTAAATATAAAATATATTCAATCAAAAACACATTTAGCACCTAGTCTAGATGTTTACTTACAACTCTACACCATTATAAATCAATAGAGATGGGTTTAAATTTGAAATTTGTGTCTTTAATGAAAACAGTGAAAATTGTGATACCATCAAAAAATATTTCAAAAATGACCGCTAGTGTATTGCGTGTGTTAAAAACCTCGATACATGCAATAGTCAGTCAGTCACTGCAAACTATCCAAATCACGTCTTATCATCCTCACCAAATGTGCACTGGATCGGTTTTCTGGGAGGTTCCCGGAAAATTCAACGAGTGCTTAATTTGAGCACGAGAGAAGAAAAATGGGAAAATTCTAGTCAGAATGCCGAGTGGTGAAAATCAATAGCGACCTCGGCCAGTCGACCGTTCAGTCAAGGGTTTTTTTYGCACCGCCGCCACTACGAATGACGGCTGGGTGTGGGTGTCGGATGGTGAAGGGGTTGGTGGGGTGTGTACAAAAAAGGAGTAACTCTTACCTCGGCGGTCCCTTCGACACGGAGCTTCGATTTCGTGTATCGTTCGAAATGTTACCGGCACTCGGCCTTCTGTGCTCGTCACACTATAGTCCAAATACGCGAGGCACACGGGTTGCCGGCCGATGATCAAACGGTGTAAGATAATTGTTCTCTGTTTCGGTTCCTGGTACAATTTTGAGGACAGCGGAAAAAACCGATAATTTTGTTTACGATAAAGAGCGGAAGGGACATAAGGGATATAGTGTATATACACACTCACACACACACACACAATCCCACACACAACCACAAAAACACGCGCGCGCACTCACGTATGGAGATCGCCACCGCCAAACCAAAACATGACTGCGGCAGCGGCGGCACCTGGTGGACTCCACCAGCGGACGTTATTGCCGCCGAAATGTGATAACAGCTACAGTGCCGCCAATGGACGACGGCCGACAATATTCTGTCACGGAACACACCACCAGCCTGCTCCTCATAGGCCAACACCAGMATATAATATATAATATTACCACTGCTCAACAATAAATTATAAATAACTACATTAAATTTTAAATTTGTCGAGAATACGTTGTCAACCGCGTAGTGCGAATTGTCAAGACTTTCGTACTTCAAAATATTCCCAAAATATAGAGTTAAAAGTTATATATTAAACCTTATGAGTTATGGCTAATATGTATACTAAATCTCTTTTGAGAACAAATGTACTACATGATAAATATTATTTTTTAAATATCAATATTAAACAAATTTTAATTTTCGTTTTATGAAACGATGACTTGTCCACCAGGGGTGAAACTAACCTGGAATAACATGGGGGCAATGGTAGATATCACAAATACGAAAAAAGTTATTATTATTTAAGAATTCAATATTTTTGAGTTTTTTAAGCTTGAATAACATTTTTTTAAGTTTTGATATCGTAAAAATAAAAATAACGTTCAACATTAAATATTATACTCTTTATAGTGTTGAAATTTGGTTGCTTTTAATTTGATAGTTTTTCTCTGCACACCTTATATTCGTTTTACCTGTATGGCTGTATGTCATATTGAGGAAAATTTGTTTTCAGCTTCTTAATCAATTGAACTGTTAAAAATGCGTACTGCACCAGACACAAAATCCTGTGCATGCTTTTGATGATAAGGACTTCACTCAAAAATCAAAAATATGCCACATTTATGAAAACAATTACAATTATATATATATATAATATTATCGTAAATATTATTTAGTATATTTAGGTACTTAAGGTTTATGCAACGATTATTTTTTTAGAACGGGGGAAGGGGTCGAGCTAAACTTATTTTTACCCTGCCTATAGTAAGTTTAGTTGTATAATACTGAAATGATATTATTTTGTTTTCGTAATTTTGTATGTTGGCGTAATCGTGGAATCAATAATAAGGTAGGTATTATATTTTAATAGTTTTTACAGGACACTTTTAAACTTAATTTAAGTGGGTATCAAACAGTCGACATTTGAATATTGTATACATTTTAAATATTCTAACCAACTTTATAGGTGTTAAGAAAGGTGTTTAGAGACAAAATTAAAAAAAAACTGATATTAACAAGACGCTATACATTAATTGATTAACATATTTTGTTATCTGTCTTACAAGTACATATCATATTATAAGTGTATCAAATTTAACTATTTAAGTTCAGTAGATCACGTTTAGCTTCTTTAGTTTGAAAATAATTTAAGTGAATTTATTGACATCAGGGGTAGTGTGGCAACTAGCCAAGTATGTTATTGTGTGTCGTAGTATACACAGGACTGACTCAATATATGGTCCATCGAGGGCACCTAAACGTCCTAAACTAGTAGGTAAATACTAAATTATAACATATTTGTTAAGCTACCCGAATAACTTTATAGGTTTTAAATTTTTCCATAGAACCGTTAATATTTTTGTAAAATACTAGGCCGTTTACCTCAAATCGACATATTATTAAACTTGAAGGTAAGAAGTATGAACATTATCTGTGTTTGAATGAAGGGATACATTTTACAATTGTTCAGTTTTTAAATGGGTTATGAGAGTTTTTGATTTATGCGCTATATATAATATATGCAAAACTTACAAAAAGTTGAACCATCGTAAAAAACCCACATATAGGTGTACACATATAAATTTCTTACCATAAAGTTTCATAAAAAATTGATTCACTCTAATTTTTAAACAAACAAAGCTAAACGTGATCTACAGAGCGAAAACCCATTTTTTTTTACGATCTCAGTGGTTGTCGATGATGGTGTTTTTTGTGGAAAATTTTTAAACCAGAAATAATTTTAAGAAATACCGATTTTTATTTGCTATAATTMAAAAATTGTGTAGCGTATAAACTTAAAATTTTAATCGAATAATGATGGTAAAACCAGTTTCTCCAGTAAGAAGTTTATTGTTTTAACTAAAAATTCACTCCTTCACTCAGAATTGTTTTATTATTTAATAATCAATACAATATGAACACTGTCTATAGTCTATACGCTCTATATAAAATATATATAATATATTGCATGTTATTCTATACATGTATAGTATGTACACTATGTCACACATGCAGACATTATATAGGTTATAGGCTATAGCCTATATAGCCCATATAGGATATGATTGTATATATAGGATGATACAACAATCTGTTTTTTTTTTTTTTTATTACTTTATTTTTTATAATTGAATTTATTTCCTACATCCTACAAATTATCACAGCAACATCATTATCGTTTATCCCGCAGTTATACAACCGTAGTTTATATTATCATATTATATCTACCTTTATATTATACTAATATTGAACTTAAAATTAAATATTAAATTAAAATACACCAATGATACCTATAGATTATTTATGATAAAAATGAAAATTTCGAGATCACGGTGTATTGCATTATGTGGTAATTTAATATGTACTATAGTGACTCACAAAGTGATACTAAATTATCAATTCTTATA